GACTACGATTACAGTCCGTGAACTTTCGTTACCGACTCGGTCGATGGAACTGGATGCATCCGTACCCGGTCTAGCAAGTACACTTCAGCAAATGGAAACCACAGCAAAGTTGTATCAAAATACACTATCTGCATATCAGCAATATGAATGAGTTTTTTCCACGAGAGCTGAATTGCAAGCTATTGTGGAGGATGTAAGACGGTATACCAATGAGCTGTTCGACCTGGTAAAAAAACAAAGTGAGAAGTTCCACCATCATAACAAGACGAGCAGTACAATGACATTTGATTCTCAAGTTACCTACACTGTCGGCCTAGCTCCTTCGTTCAACGAGTTCTGTTTTCCACTGAAATTGCCTTTCCCAAAAAATGATCAATTCTTGGGACGAGAGGATGTCATACACGAGATGCAGGCAAACTTCGGCCCTCGCGATATGTTTTTACGCAAGACTATTATTCTTATCGGTATGGGCGGGTTAGGAAAGACTCAAATCGCCCTTGAATACGCCTATCGCTTTAATAAGGAATACTCTGCGATATTCTGGCTGGACAGTAAGAGCGCGGAAACTGTCAATAGTAGTGGATTACGCATCCTGGACCAGCTAGTTGCGCATTACGCAACGAAGCATCCTGAACGCACAAACTTCACCAAAATTGCTGTACAATTTGGGATTCCTAGTCAACTTGACGCATCTGGGCATCTTGTTGCCCAGTCGACGAAGAAACCATGGCTCATCATTAAGGAGTGGCTTGGGAGGTCTCTGAATAATAACTGGTTGCTCGTCATCGACGGCCATGATGACATCGATTCGGGCTTGTCAGAGCTTATTCCTTCGAGCAAGCACGGAAATATCATCATTACTTCGAGAAACCGCACAGTCTGTACCGAGGTCCAAGGCCACATCCTTGACGTACCCGAGCTCAATACAGACATGGCAACTTTAATCCTTGTCAAGATCGTAGATCCAAAACACGAACCCACAGATCTTTCTGATAAAGGTATGTAGTTTACATTTCGATATGTCAATTTCATCTTGCTCACTAAATGCAGAGAAAGATGCCGCCCAAAGGATTGTCGAAAAGGTTGGATGACTTCTGCTAGCCATTTCACAGGCTGCCTCGTAAATCAGACTTAAGTCAAGTAATTTCATCACATATGTCCGACAGCTTGAAAGTAATATCACGCAAATCCTATCGTACACTTTTCATAGCTCGGGCACAAAATACTCCGAGGGAGTTGTTTCCTGTTGGAGGATTTCTGTCGATTCACTCGCTCTCGATGCAGCTAGACTTTTGAGGATATTTGCGTTTTTAAGCAATGAGGGTATTCCAGAAGAAATGCTACATAGAGGGATGGTTTCACTGGAGTGGCTTCATGGTGGTAAGTTTTCTGACCATGATAATACATCTGCTAATGCTCAGTAGATGAGGATAAGTTGGAAAAACGCCATTGATAACCTTATTGAGCTTTCGCTCATCAAACGAAAAAAATTGTCTGATGACGAAGGTAGATGGTTGTGGATGCATCCGCTTGTGAAACTTTGGGTACGGGAATGTTTCAGCACCGAAAAAGACACATACCTGGCAACTGAAATTAGCGACATTCAAATCCGACGGACCGAAGGTGCACTCAATGCCGTCCTATTCGTCTGTTCTTCCCTAGTTAAAGATCTGCGAGATAGGAAGCCAACAGAATGGTTGTACGAAAGGAAGATTATGACTCACTTAGAAGTTTGCTAGCACTATCTCGGCCAATATTTCAGCTCCACCTTAAATGATAGGGAGGCAGAAAATTTAGCGCCTATAATTCATCGACTCGGAATGATGCGATCTTCTTGGAGGCAGTGGCCCGATGTTGCAAAACACTTCCGACGAGCAACTGAAGTTTATTGTATGATACCAGATCCTTCTGATCGACTCATCATAGCAACAATGAAATCCGGGCGCCAGTTCATGAGTATCTCCCACCATTTGGTCGACCATGAGTCTCTGGATTCATGGGAACTCTCGGAAGCATTCGACTGGATACGTAAAACTCAAACGAGGATTCTTGGTGGCAACCATCATGAAGTCATTTCAACCCTGCTTGGAAAAGCAGAGATGCTTTATTACAGGCTGAATAATGAAGAACTTGCCTTTTCAGTTGCATGCGAGGCTTTAGAACTGGTAGAGTCATGCGAAACTGCCACAGATTCCGATTTATTATCTGTATATAACGTGATAGCCAATTACTGTCCTGAAGAGGACGAAAATTCCCTATATTATTGCATCAAGTGTATGCAGCATGTGGAAAATAGCGGTGGCATGTATGCATCTGCAGGACTTATCATATATAGAGCGGCCGTGAGACTGGTAGAATTGGAGGAATATAGCGACGGACTCGAAATCCTGCGACAAGTGATATTGTTTACGGAAAGGATAATGGGGAAATCTAACGACGTTTATGTTCTTGCCTGTGATTGCGCCGGGACAGCATGTTGGAATCTTTCCAGGTGGGAGGAAGCGGCCACATATTACGAAGCGGCTAAGGAAGGGTTTTGCAATGCTGTTTTGTATATGGGGCTAACTATGAGAGAACTTGACCATCGCATTAAGTATTTCAAACGTCGGGCTTCGGAAGACAATAACTCCCACACACTATCATCCGACGAGCGCACCGACACCGCCAACCGCCCCAAGAAGTTTCCGTTCATGGAGACCGAGAAGTGGGCCAATCAAATGCGGCAAGTCAAAGAGCTCGCGAAGCAACTCGACGACTCTAGCTGTGGTATCAAAAAGTTACGGGATTCTTGATCGGGGATGGTGGGAGAGTGGGAAGGGGGAAGATGGGATGGCAGAAGAGAGGTTGGGAATGGAGGACGACTTTCTATTTTCACGGGATTTTTGTTTTATCGGGTGTTTCTCTCGATCTGTATCGACTGGCTGTGGGTTTCTATGTCTGTATTTTTGTAACGATGATATTGGGTCATGTCATTCATATTTTGGTCTCGGATGGTTGGATGGCTACGTGGCACGTCTCTTTATTGTCATGTATTTCGTTTCTTGTAGCACGTAAGGGTTTCGAATCAGTTTGGGATGCAGAAATTGCGATTGAAGGCTTTGAAAACGACGTCAGGGGTAGCTATAAGCGTGGTGGGAGGATGGAGGATGATGCTTCTGTTGTTTTTGTTTATGCGGGGTTGAATCTGGATGTGTATCCTATGGCTCTGATTGATGATGATGTTCGTTCCTTTCTCATTTATTGGCGGTATTGCTTGTTCAGTTGGATGGCTATGTCTTCTTATCGTCGCTTGTTGTGTTTCATGTGGTCTGGGTTAAGGTCGGTTTTCAATGGGAAGCTATTTTGATGTCAGTCTGCGAGAGTATTATTTGCAAGTTCGGAGAGCATTGGAAGAAAACAAAATGTAAGGTTTTCGAGGTGTTTAATCTACCCAAGACGATACTGGACGTACTAGAATATGTTAATATTGTATCGCATTCGACGATGATTGCAACGCCGTTTCGTGGGATGGTCGAGGGTTCGACCCTGCGGTCTCCGGCGTCACTTGATTCAAAAACTGACAAAGATATCATGTTATGCTGCTAGAAAATGGTGATGGTTTCTGTTGTGCTCTTGGTTGTGCGGCCTGCGGAAGTGCTAGGCACAGCACCGTGAGTAAGTATATGTACTGATTATAAATATTATAGATTTATGCCGGATAAACTCGCCATAATTGGCCGGGCTGGCGCAATGGTAGCGCGTCAGACTTCTAATCTGAAGGTTGCGGGTTCGATCCCCGCGTTCGGTTCATATTTTGCCTTTCGCGACGAATGCAGGTGAATGTTTTTTCGGCATGCCTCATGCCAGCTCTATGGAATATTTTATGGGCATGAAATAGAGTGTTTTTTTTTTTTTTCACTTTCCATATTTTCCGAAGCCTGGAAAGTGCTCCGGGTGGTGCTTTTTAGTTGCCGATGAAACCGGCTGTTATTTCTTGGCCCTTCGCTCTTCCGGGGACCGACCTCGCTATCAACTTTCATCAGCCTTTTCGTGGATAATATCACATATTCGGTAAAGGAAGATATTCGCTTACGGTTAACTGTTTACCTTCCAGAAAGTTAGCAGTCAATCATGAATCGTGATGGGATTGGCACTTGAGCGCCGCGAGCAAGCAGGTTACTATAGATGCAAATTCATTTCAAGGTGAAAAAACCCTAGCTGGTGAGTAATTCCCAAGATATGCATGTGAATTTGGGGTATTGTTGCTAGCTGATACGTTGAGGAAGGAACGGAACGTTGGTTCCGCTGTGCAGGGAGAAAGAAAAGGCGAACACAAAGAGCGAGGGGCAAAATCAATTCTCAACCTCCAACCGCATAAGTATGCATATATTACTACCTACTCTATATAACCCGATTGCGATATGTACAATGATCAAAGAAGAAGAAAGACCAAGAAACAAGGAGGGCCTTTCGGATGTTTCGGGAATGTCACTGGGGGTCGCCCCGCGGGGATTGATAGTGCCAATAAGAGTGCCGAGTATGAAGCAGTACCGAGTTCCTGTTCTTGGTACCACGCCTAAATGCCGGAGGGGGTTAGAGATTGAGCGGCTTCTAGAAGGGGCAGAAGAAATGAGAGCAAGGCTTACCTGCGCGACCGCTGTGGTAGCCGGGAGCCACAGCATGCGGGTTGGTGTTCCAGATTGATTAACGATGATCGCGTTAAGGCTCCTGCTATGGACCGGGAAGTTTCATGTTCTTCATTTTCAGCCGGCTCAATTTCTGCCTGAACCTATTTTTCAAAACAGCGGGTAAATCGGCCACTGTGAAGATGCAACTCTAAAATATGTTGCCGATTTTCGTGACAAGCACGACGCCGACCAAGTGTGCCGCTTTCGCGATACAGAAAACCTTGCACCCCATGAAACGTTGATATTTTCTAGCCTCACAAGTGCGAACATCAAGCGTCTGGCCTTTGAAGTATTGCTTTTGGAATGGGTAACATTTAAACCCTGCCATCAAATGGCCGCATGGCCCAATGGCAAGGCGCTTGACTACGATTGACGAGTTGTCATCCGAAATCAAGAGATTGCAGGTTCGATCCCTGCTGTGGTCACATGTTCTTTTCCCCTAGGTGGATCTTACGTTTTTTGTCTCAATCTCTTAATTTTTGCTGCATAATGTTATAGAACGGCTCTTGTGTTGTATTTCATTTTCTTCATGCATGTAAATACCGAGTATTAGGTGCTCTGAAATCGCAGCGGGGTTGATACAGATAGTGAAGCGCATTTGATGCACCTGACACACCTGATGTATGTACCTGCATAAAACGGCAAGTATTATCAAGGGGCGCGAATGCTAGTTACCAAGATTGGTAGGTGAATATTTAAAATAAATACTTTTGGACCCACTTCCTCCGTGTTAAGCATTGAATGCACTGACCATGATCGTATTTGCTCATCAAAACTTTAGTTCCTCTGAGTTGTCACGTAGATGAGAATTATGATTTTCATGCATGCGAGGCAAAGTGATACGTTCCTATATGTGATTTCACATCGCACATCAGGCTTCTTTTAGAGAAATATGCACGTGGGCACCACGATAGGGTATCTATTTCCAAACCTGTCCATTCTGGATGCGATCTAAATGTTTCAAGCTCTGTATCTAGAGAATCCGATCAATCCTAGAACACATCCTTCCTCATGAACATGCGCAATAATAGAAACGATAAACGCCGGCAACCTGGAAACGAGCAATCCGGGTGTGTGCAAACGGTTGGACTGCTTGGGTCGCCCCAATTCAGAATACCTGTTGCACAAATGTGTCTCACCGTGACGACACTCCATTCGACATGTGGAAAGACAATGAGTAGCTGTTTATGTCTTGCGATTGATAAACCGCAGACACATCATACTTACCACGAAGTCCATTCAAGCAAGAATTGTTGGAGGCTAATCGGATGGAGTAAGTTTGAGTGCTGCTCAATGTCGAATGAATGGTATTGTTATGATTTTTTTTGTTTTGAATCAACTTTTATTATCGCGACCGTCAGTCATTACTGAGTGTATGAGGTATTGTTATGATCCGTTGGTCGGGTGGCAACTCAACCCGATGAAATATCTTGAATATCGCCAAAAAGCACGGTTAGCCCTAAAGCACCTGGATCCCTATTTCCTTCCAGTCATGACGATATCTGTCAGCTGTTAAATAAGGAACTGCTGGCCTTTTGTAGAGTAAAGTACCGGTCGCGAGGAAGTTTGCGCCTTTTTTTTTCTCGCTTATACCTAGTAGATACGACGTCCTACTTCGGGACTTTGTCCTCTTCACATAGCTGAGTCGGGGCAAACTACCGAAGCGTATTCCGTTTGCTCTCAGGCTCTCGGCGATTTTTCTAGGATCAGTTACAATAGAAGTAGTTCATGAATTCAACGCCCCACACTATCTACCAGGATCAAGCTATTCAAATTGTATTTGAAAGGACAGATGAACAGAGCAGTGCGTGGTGGCGGACTTCTAAGTGGCGTTTCGGATCGATTAGCTGTTGCAGCCACAGTGGGTCCGGGGACGGGTCTGGGGTTTCTGGTTTGAAGAGGGTTCCGGGTTTGCAACGGTAGTGGTACCAAAAAAGTTTCCGCAGGTTATTAAAATCATGTCAGCCGTTCGGACGGCGTAAAATTGTGGATATCAATGTCATCACGCGAAATGTCTCGCTTACAGACTGTTGTGAAGGGTCTAGCGGGCAATATGTCCAAGGTTAGTGGGCATTTAAGGAGCGGTTAGCGGGGAATTTACGTAGCTCCGATTAACGCAGTAGGCGCCGCCCAGCTAGTCTATATTCGTAAAAACATTACTATCGTTACTGCAGTAGTGCGGCCCAGATCACTACCGCGGAGATTCTAATTGCACCAAGCTTTTACTAGCAGGTAGGTGATGCCTAGTGTACGCTAGTTTACCGTTGCAAAGGCTGGTTTGTGGGCCGTTTGTGGCGGCCTGTGTACGGGATTATAGATATCCGTTCCAGAATCTCGGATCTCTGGACCCTATCTACTGCGTGGGAGGCGTGGGAGTGAGTCGCTATCTGTTTGAGCACATTTTGGACGTGCTTCCGTACATTCAAGCTTTCGCTGATTTTCGAGTTGGGGTCCAAGGCATCACGTTGTTGTTTCTGGTGATCAGTCATTCCGTTGCGTAATCTACAAAGATCACAAGCCAAATACGATCACAGCGGGGTCTTTTGCACATCTCCCACAAGCTTTCTCTCAAATTCTCACTGAACCTACTAATTCCGCACAAGCCTTGCAGCTTTCATCCTTTCACAATAGTCTCTAATACACCGGTATCTTCCGGCTGGATAACGCCAGCTTCTACCTTCGCATCTCCCTGCTGCGATCGACATGTCTGACCGCGCTTCATGTGGGAGGTGTCAACGCACGCGCCAGAGCTGTACAACCCGAGAAACATAGGCGAGGCGTTACAAAACCCGTTTTGCAGGTGGTCAAGTAGCCATGCGTGAGGTGGGGCCAAACGGCCAAGAATCGTGTGAATTCTCCAGCACTGGGCCCATTCTATGAGTAATCTTACATCCCCACGTACAGCATATTCCATACACGGCAGTAGGGTTCGGTTGCTGCCTGTTTTTTCTTTTGTATATATGCATAAGATGGCCTACTTTCAGGGCAGACTTTTCATCTAGTCTTAATTTGTTTGCAGTAACAACTTCCTCATCAGCCCTCCTTGGTACCTTGCAGGTTTGCCTCTTAAGTTGTGGATTATCATATTGGGAGCTGACCCCAACAAAACCCAAATCCCTTATGTAAAGCCAAAGAGCTCGCTTCGATCCCTGCTGCAGAATTCAAGTTCCTCTGGGATAGAGCAAAGATGACCTTCTGAATTCTCTTCAAAAATAGGGGAGTTTAGTTTTCCGTGAGAACCATGTCTGATGATTGCATCAAGGGCAAACTCCCGAAGAGAGGGATCCGCAATTTTGTGCTTAGAAGGAGACTTGAGTCTGCATGACGCTCCATGTAACCAATTCTGCGCACGGCGAAGCTCATCCGCCAGAAGGGATTTTGCAAATCTTTGCATTCGACAATGGGATCACCCTCCGTGGCGACTTGGATGCCTCGCACATCGCTACTACATCTGGCAAATCTGGTGGAACGGTCGTGCTGTAGTTCAAAACTTGATTGTAATTATCTGGTTTATTTGACTTGACGATTTTGAGCAGCTGATTATAAAAGACGAAATTTCGGAGGGAACGCTGGTACTTTCGGCAAACCGCAACTGTGATGACTTGACCGCTCTCTACAAGCAGAAGGCGATATTGTCGCAGAGTTTGCCTACTCTTTCGTGAGGGGCTCCTGATTTTCCTCGGGGCGGCGGTAAGTGGGGCGCGCCTTCCGAAAGGGCAGCCGTTTTGGCTGTGGCTATACGTCACGCTAGTACAAATATAGTACATCGAGTGATGTTACATGACCTGTAAGTGTGAGGGGAAAAGTGCGGCGCGCTTTCACACACCATCACACACATCCGCTCTAATCTGGTTTTTCCGCTCCTCCAGTATCTATGACCGCCTGTAAGCGTACTGGAATACCTCCAATCAAGCTACGCAACCGCCTTTCAGCTATACTTCTCCAAGAAACTATGGCACAGAGCTCCAAAGCCTCGATGTCGCTGATTGTTCCCCAGATCTTCCCTAGTTCTGTCATCGGCAACTCCGCACCATTAAAGTCAGTGGCCGAGGTTCATCTGCGCTACCGATGTCGCATAGCAGGCATAGCGAAGATCTATCGACCCCTTGCTGCCCCTGATTCTCTTTTCTAGAAGCCTAATTGAAGAACCCTGGTAAATAGGACTGTATAAGGTAGCCATGATCTCTCAAGTCGCGCCCCGCATCTGGAACTTCATATACGCCTGAATTCGTGAATTCGACATCAGCCACCAACTTTCAGGCTGCTTGAAAGCTCAGTGACTATGACAGAGAACCGTGGTCCCCAAGTCGCAGGTGTTGCAGGATTTTTCCTGGGGCTTTCGACGATAGCCACAATACTACGATGTTACTGTCGAATTGCCTTAGTGAAGTCGTTCGGTGCAGATGATTATCTCGCCGTCATTGCACAGGTATGATAATTTTTACAGCACTGTATCTGGTCATTATTAAAACTGACATGATTTTAGATTTTCTTTATGTTCTTTTGTGGATTTGCGATAGCTGGAGTTGCATATGGTACGGGTCAGCATGCGTGGGATATCAAGCCACCGACGAATATTCCAATTGGTCTCAAGGTATATCGAATTATCAACAGATTCTGAACATTAGCTAATAATTTCTACAGTGGTGGTGGGCTTGTGAACCGGTTTACGTCTTGTCCAACATGGCGTTGAAATTCAGTATCGGTATTTTCTTATTACGAGTCGCCGTCGACAAAACCCAGCGTGCCATTATCCACGTTGTCATGGCCGTATCCGGATTGATGTGCACTTACTTCTTCTTCCTTTTCGTTTTCCAGTGCTGGCCCGTCGCCTACTTCTGGGGCCAGTACACTGGAATGAAGGGACACTGCATTGACCCGAGCATCACCGTTAAATCGGTTTACGCGTACTCGGCCGTCAGTTGTTGGTCGGATTGGACATTCAGTATTTTGCCAGCCTTCATTGTCTGGAAGCTCAACATGAACCAGAGAACGAAGTTTTCTGTTTTCATGATTTTGGCTCTTTGCGCTGTGTAAGTTGCTTTTTTTATCCCAGAAATACACGAGACTAACTCCCACCAAGTGCATCTACCGCAACTATTGTTCGTTTCCCCTACATCGAGGGTATGTCCAACTACGCCGATTTCCTCTACGCCACCACCGACGTTGCCATTTGGTCTCTCGCCGAAACCGGAATCGGTATCACCGCCTGCTGCGCTGCGACTCTCCGTCCTCTATTCCGCACCTTTCTTTCCCGATCCCGCCTCTTCGGCAAGAGCACCAACTCTAAGGAGGCATCCACCGGATGGCGTTATTCCAGCAACCCTTCCCGTGGAGGATATCTCCGCAGAACCGGAAGGGACACAGAAGAGGAAATCGACTTGAGGGACGACGTTGCTAAAAATGGAATCGTCACCACTGTCGT